TTTTGTTTTACTTAAAGATATTTTTTTAGGCAATCTTAAGCTACATTGTAAATCACATGTAATGTTCTTTACACAGAAACAGCCTAATGCTCTTAGTAATATAAAATGACACATTATGACACAAAGGTGTAGAAGCAGTCTAGTAAGTCAAATATTGACATAAGTACAAAAACCACTTTTCTAGTAAGTCTTGTACCTGATTTACAGGCGTACTGGATTTTTCTCCTCTTTGAAAGATTCAGATATAACTTGTTTCAAGATAATACACTGATATACACATAAATTTCAATTATAATAAAAGCACACTTCTAATTCCTCTCATGTGTAATAAATCATACTAAACGGTAGCTTTCTGTGAAGTATCTTTCATCATGACAGCACGAGTCTTTCGGTTGTTGCTCCTTCAGCCAGAAAAGGTAATGAGGGGATGAATACAACTCACCCTGAATTCCATTTTTAAATCCCAAAGAAGACAAACTTTCCTGACTTTAGGTTGTTGGGTTTTTTTCTTATTCCCTATTAGCCATTCATGCAGACATATTTTTTTTTCCAGAAGAACAATTAAATGTTCATCTTTTAAAAATTGGGAATTCAGCAGAAAAGTCTCGGTGAATGGATGCCACATATTGAAATGTGACTTATCAATACCACTGCATTAAATAACTGCATTAGAGTTTTAATGTCTTGATCCTATATTAAATCACAGACTAGACTGCGTATATGCCATGCATGAGATTCCCTTGGTTGTTTCTTCATGCGCCCATATGTGCATATGAGCTCTGGTAACCTGAGCATGACCAATGAATAAAGTAAATATCCAAAAACTAAGTAAAATATTTTCCTTCACATTTGAAACATTAATTTAGGTTGAACAAAATGGTACAAGTAGGAGCTATTGGGGACAATAAAATAACTTAAGAAGTGGCAACATCAGATGATTAAAGTCAGGGCTAAAGAGAGACTCTAGGTTCTTATAGTAGAATCCACAGCTTTATGTCACTTAGGCCACCTAACAACAGCAAAGCAGAAGTCTAACAAGTAGGATAGTGGCATCCAGCACACTGAGGCAGGGGCGACGAACCTGCCAGCAGAAAAACACCGAATTAGTAAGTGTATCCTCAGCTCAGTTCTCTGCAGGTACTTGGGTACCTATTTCAGGGCAAAATTCACAGCCCTGCAGCCTTCCCTGGAGTTTCTATTAAAAAAAACAAACAAACAAACAAACAAAACCCCACAACCAAAAAAAACCCCAAAACCCCACAACAATCCAAATAGAACCAAAACCCAACCAAGGCATTTTTTCCTTAAAACCACAGATGCCAGAGGAGATGATGGTTCCTGTGTGCCACTAAACAAATAGACTGCTCCAGCTTGAGATGCAAGAGATCTACATTCAGACACACACTGCAGAACTGGAGGCTGAAGACATCCCCTTATAGTGAACAGAAAGGTACTCCACACAGCTGCAGGAGTTACTGTCAGAAAGAACACCGTTACGTACACGTTCGGCCGTGGATCAATCAAGATCCATCAAGAATCCTGTCCCTACTCCAATATTTAATATGTAACATACAGCCAGACCAGTAAGTTCCTTCTTTCCGATATTAAAAAATATTTTTTCCTTCCTTAGAAGGTTTTAACCAAAAATTTCTTATTATGCTATTACACAGAAGTTAGGGTTTTTAATTCCAGATGCCAAAAGTACTCTTATCATTCATCTCATTAGAAAATCCCAGTATGCAAAGCTTCAAAAGGATGTAACTGGTAGCATGGATTGCATTGGTAACAGTAATGCAAGAGGCAGGTTATTAACAGTAATGAAAAACCATTTGCTCTGTTATATGACAATCACCCAGACTTCGAAGCAAAATGTTTTGCAATAGGTTTTTGATCAACTCACAAAACAGGAACAGCAGTAACAAATAGCAACCAGAACAGGTAATTTTTTTAATGTAGAGTGCAATAAATTCTCCAATAAGCTACACACCCAAAGGAACAACTCTTCATGGCACTATATACTTGCTACTGCATTAGACTGGTGTGAATTCATTCCCTCTCTGGAATTTTCAGAAGGATTAACACGTGAAAAAAGTTGTGGTTCAATAGCAGAACAAATGACACTAATGTAAATGCTCTCCGTCTTCTACATTCTCTAACCACTCCCACACAATTCTTCCAATTCATTTCCATGTCCACGCATTCCTTTCCTCCTGTAGTTCTCCATCAGCTTTCTGTTCTTCTGGAACGGCAAAAGCATATGCAATGGGTGTTTTGGAATGACATTGTGATCACGGGCTGACCACCATGCTCAGGGGATTTGTCTGTGGACAGCCGCCACTCGGAATGTTCATGGGCTAGCTAGGGAGGCAATGGTCACGCAGGGAGCACACAGGAACCAGGCAAAGTGTTGAAACCCAAATGACATCTGAATCCAGTACCACCTTTATGCTAACAATACTGCCTCGTGACTTGCAAAATACTGAGGGGTGAAGAGGGGAGAGGAGGTGGCAGATGAAACTAAGAGGTAATCTCATCACAAAAGTGTCCTTTTCTTTGCACAGTTGCAGGGACACAAATCTTCACCTGCAAGTCACAGTTTTACACCTACAAGTCACAGTTCCCCACCCACATGCAGTCTGCGTTTCAAAAACAACTGCCACTGACTACAGCAGAGCTGGGGGCGTTCAGCGCTGCTCACGAACCAAGTATCACAGGTCTTACTGAAGGACACAATAAAAGAGGGGGAAAAAACACAACACAGTGAAAGACAAGTGTTTAAGGAGGTTTCCAGAAGACCAAAGTACTATGTACTTCTGTGCCAGTTTTACCCATATCCAGGATGCTTTGCTTCCCAGGCAGCCCAGGCCATAAGCGTTACATACGTACACACCACCAAGAGAACTGCCAGGAATCCTGAGGTCTGTGACAGTCCAATGGAAAAGGATGACCTTTTTTCCCCACTGTGGTAAGAAAACCAAGCATTAAATTAGGCTCTAAGAATCCAAAACTTTAACATTAATGTTAATGTATTGTCCTAATTAGTGACATACCCAAAGGAGCATGATGTTCTCCATGTCACCGCCACAAGACAAAGCGAATGACAACACATCCTACACCCAAGCTGGCTATCAGTTTGTCCAAGAGCTGTGACATGCTCTTTCCTGACATGGCACCTGTACAGCTAACGTGTTATCCGTGTTCACTTAATATTAGACAAATCTGTTTGAACAGTGTGATATGATCAAATTTCAAAGGTCCACACCTAACATTCTTCTGATGCTAGTGATAACCTAGGCTATTAGGCAGATTTTGAAATACACCAGTTGTCAAACAACTCCCCACAGAAAGGGCATTGAAAACGTATACAGTTAATATACTGCAAGGGAATCAGTCACTAAACTGCAATCCTGCCAGTGATAGTGGAGGTTTTTAGATTTCTCTAAACATCAAACAATAAGTTTGCCAGCAGTTTGGATCACCTCCGCAGCTTTACTAAGGCTTCAACCTCAATGTGCTTATTAGCTGTTCCCCCAAATTCTCCTTTAGAGATGGAGTAAAGTCTGTTCTTGTGTCTCCCGGCTTCCACTTATTATTCTGGTCATGGGACTATTGCAGCCACAAGTTCTGTGGAATTTCCAAGCAAAGAAACAGCTACCAAGATGCTTCCAAAATGGAGCAAAGCGTGTGGGAAGAGCACTTCTGGGCAACCTCAACTATTCTGGAATTTTATGAGACATTTTGTCCAAGGGAGACTGGGCCAAGAAGACTGGGTGAATTCTAGGGAAAAGCAAACTGTTATCATACAGTTATATTGGATGTAACCGCTTTGTTAAATATCTTCTTTTCCCAACATTTTTACTCATTAATTAGGTAGGAAAGGTGCTTGGTCTTGAAACATACTCTCATGCTTTAGAAAAAACAGCATCTAAAATAAAGTCTTTGGTGATGCTTTACCAGAAAAAGTGATGATTTAAAATAAGAATCAGATGCTTCCTATGCAGGATCAGAAAATGCCAAGTTTCCATTTCTAGGGTGCTTCACTCCAGTTGATCTAGGATGAAAGAAGCGAGCCAATGATTTTTTTCTCCTAGCTGTCTCTAGCCCCAAATGCTTTATACCATTATGTATCATTGCAACCTCTTCTAGTTTATCTTATGCTGTAAAATGCTGCATGCAGATGACATACCATCTGAGAACTTTTCTATAAATCATTAAAATAACACTTTCATAACCTCAGAAGGAGGATATTATCTATCAGCATTTACCATTAATAATTAAGCCCCTGCACCATTTCTACTGGGAAAGGAAGTACAATTATACACATTTTTCATGCATAAATATATCACGTGGAGGAAACAAAGTCGGATTATTCTGGATTTTGTGTACATCATCTATTTGCCACTATTTTATTTGTACAAATGCATTCAATAACTTCACAAGCAAGGAGACAGTGAGACCCCCAACCTTCTGAATAAACCAACATCTCATTCACAAAAGCCATCTTGAAAGTGTAGTCAAGAGTCAGAGTCTTAGCGGCTATGCATGGTTCTGAAGGTCTGTCCCCTGTATACTAGGCCTTTTCTCATGGCTGCTGATTTAAACTAAAAATGCCCAATGATTGTCCCATTTTAGTTAGCTGAATTTATCTAGCGACCTGACCTTCTCTGTGAAAATCAGACATCAAAAATCCCAATGTAACAACTTGTTAAAATGTCCAACACAAAACGTACATAGCTATCACAGCTCATGTAGTTCCACAATTCCAAATGTAACTAATGTTTAATTTTTCAGTCATGACTACTTATCCAGTTCTCAGAAGGCAAAGCAGCATTATAAGCTTCTATCCTTTCCTTTTTTTCCCCTTTTCTATCATTTTAAAATGCATCTTGTGTCTTAAAAACAACATTTCAGACATCCAAATTTTGCAGACAGTGACTTCAGTTTTATCTCCCTGTTTTGGCTCTTCATGTCTGAGAGACCCCGTTTCTGCCATGTCCTACCTCGGGGCTGGCGCAGGACACACGTACTACTCTTCCACTTCAGCAGCCCTCCAGCAATGTGCATGCCGAGCACGCGCAGCAGCCGCTTAGTTCACTTTTACAACTAGGACCCCATTTTAGGGTGTTCATCTGTATTCCTGCAAGTGAACATTGGAATTTCAAATAATCTTCTGGTTTATTGGACAACAATAACAAAAACCCCATTATTATTACTACAAACTAAATGAGTCCGATACTGAAATCTAAGGGAAGGCATAAAATAAGCAAGATAAGCTTCAGCTTTAAAACAGACTGTAATTCATTGTTAAAGGGAAATTATAATATTAACACTCCTCTACAATGCATTTTTAAGACTAACAAAATTTATTCCACTAAATATTTAGCACTTTAGTAGACTCTAAGCTTTGATAATGACTGTAATTTTCTGTGAGACAGAAGCTTGGTCCTATGTGATTAATTACTTCAAAATGGAGACAATTTATAGATTTTCACAGACATTCCCTTAACAACTAAGACCAAATAGTGATTTAAAATTGGCTCTTACTGCCTTTTTTTTTAATATGAACAAGTATCCACTATAAAATTATTATAGTCTATGCAGTACCTTCAAGTTACAACTTATTTAGCAAAGTCAAATTTCCTTTAAGATGTAAACATAGTACTGGAAGCAGCATTATAAATTATGTTTTCTTTTCTGTTCGAGTAAGAACTTTGTAGTGTTGGTCAGTTCAAAACCAGAGGAATGACACAAGGGTATTCCTTGGTGTAAGCTATTGACAGCAGTACACACATGAAGTTCTGCATCTTTAACTAGCATTAGGAAATTACAATAATTTCTAAAAATTGCAAGCCAGACAACCCGATTCACTCAACAAACTACTGTTCCTCAACCTTTCTTTTTCAATAGAATATACAAATATTCACATCCACAGTCCTATATTCTGTGGGAAAAAGGGATGCAAATCCATAAAGTGCATTCTTACAAAGTCACTGGAAAAATTGTCTCTAGTGATTTAAAAGCATGGCTTTTGGATGCTCCGGCCTCAGCCCTCCAGTCCATGAGAATCTGGCCTAGAAACTGCATCCAGCCACAGCAGGCAGCTTGCAAGAGAAAACAGAAAAACATCCAGAAAATCCCCCTGCATAGCTTAGGGAATTAGTAAAATTTTACTCAGTCTCCTTAATAAGTCTTTGGATGTTATTACTGTATTAATTATCTTTATTGGCAAGCTGTTGCAACATGTTTTCTGTGGTGCCTTCCATCCCACACCTACATTTCCTATCTGAAATAAAATCATTCCTTCTCTTAAAAAGAGACTAAAAACTGGAAGCAGCAAGACATTTTCTGCCCTAATTCAGTTCTATGCCTCAGGCACACCTCCTTGGACCATGCGTGACCAAGAGTGGCGCAAGCGCCACGGCCCTGCAAGCCTTCAGCATGGCGCAGCTGAGGGCCGCCCTCCTTCTCTGAAACAGAAGAGTGGCCAGGGCCAAGCCCCTGCCCTCAGCCACAGCTGCTACGTGGCGGCCATGCTTGTGCCAAGCTGCCAGCCAGGATCACGTGCCACACACCAGCCACCTGGCCAGCCTCACACCCCATGCTGGCCCTCAGCCGCCCAAGATGGAGGCCTTGCTTGGCCCCACTCGCCACCAGGTTGGGCCCACTGGTCACTGGCCAGTGGCCAGCCCTGCCTCCGTGCCACAGGCTTGCCAAGGGACAGGCAGGGCTCGCTCCTGGTGCCAGCCCATCCCTGCCGGCCTCACCCGGCTGCCATGGCACAGGCCCTGCCCGCCCAGCCCAGCCATGGGGCTCCTGCTTGGCTCCCCAGGCAAACCGTGCCCCACAGCAGGACGATGGTATAAGGAGTCACTGTGAATTTTTCTCAAAGAACAACACATCAGAAATTCAAGTGTATTTAACATTAGTAAAACATCTTCTCTTAAAAGAATACCCTCCACAATGACCTGAAGGTTTATCTTACCCAAACCTCGCTGAAATACCAATAGATGGTATATGCAAAGCAATATCTGGTAAATTACACTACATTAGTCTGGACGATTTAACATATCACGAGTATGCTGATAGTTTAAAACATTTCCAAAAGCTGAAAATGCTTTTGTTTTCCCTTTACAAAGGGTATTTTTTGAACCGTGCACACACAGTTTCACATGGAAGTCTAACTGCCCAATTGCATGACCAATTTTTGTACTTGGTTACTAGTATCTGGTATGATATTTGAATACAAAAATAACTGGTTATGTTTTAGACTCATTACATTGTTAGGCAAACAACAGATTTGTCCAGAAAATGACTGACTCACATATAAGATTTAGAAGTTTTATCATTAGACACTTGCTAATTCACTGGCTATTCTCTGAATAGAAACACACACCTTTCAGAGATATTCTTTAAGCAAAACAAACAATAAAAGTGATTATTAAAAAAACCTATTCAGATGGAGATGTGGTGACTCATAACTATTGCTGTTTTAACAGAGGTTAAAATTTATGTCTGTATAACATTGTACATAAGATGTATTATAATGAATGCCTGCCTTTCTGAAAGCATTCTATGTACAGCACACTGTCTGGTACAATGAACAAAGCACTAGCTCTCCATGGCTGTTTTTGAACCATTAGATACGCAGTTAAGTGGAGTTTGTAAGATTATGTTAATTAGATCCAGCATTTTAATAGGCAGCCACATTTTCTTTTATTTTGCCTTCATTTCTGAGACTACTGCCATTTACTGTAGGATGTGCTCTACAGTCCTACCGGTGTTAACAATGGCTCTGTGTATCTGGAACAGTGAATATATTCACAAAAAGATAACACAGGCAGATTTAATTTAAGAATTTATTTGAGCAAATAAATCCCTTACAGTTGCTTAGAAATGGTCAAAAGTGACCCTTTGTTCCAAGTTTTTTTCCGCTTATTAATAAAAAACAGACTTCCACTATATTCTATATTTTGTCTTCATAAAAAATTCTCTGGAATCAAAAGCTTGAATACAAACAAAGCCAAATGTGTTCATAAAAAAAAGAAGGGGACCGTGACTACTGATGTTTTCTGTCTCTATAGACCCCTAAAGACACAAAATGTTATGCCAAGTTGGTCTGCATCCATTGAGTCAGGTTCAATTCCTAGGTTATAAGACTTAATAATTACGTAGTCCAACATTAGCTAAAGGTTTTCATTCCTAAAAGGAACTTCTCATTATATGTGTGTGTTGGAAATCCTGAGATATTGTTACACTGATGCAGAAAATAGTGTCTTCATACATCTCATCATTAGGTGCTACAATAAAAAAAAAAAAAATTATCCGAATGGTGATCTGAAAATTGTTTGAATTATTTGGGACGCAATAGGATTAAGTTTGAAAACCTTAACATTACCTAGATATCTGAAAAAACTGACATGATGACTCTTTAATCTGTACACAGGCTAACTTGCAATGATATTCTGCAGACATAAATCCCCAATCCTCTACGAGTTATGAGAAAAGTCTTTCTATGAGACAACCCTCCTCCCGCAGAAGCAGGTGTCCAGTTACTTTCCAAAGCACCTGGAGCTGGCTCAGATTCCCCCCTCGCTGTCAATAGCAAAATACATTATGTGCTCAATGTACAAGAGTCAGTTTATTATAACTGTTTCACAGATTTTCCAGTTTGTGATGCAATTAGGAACACATTTTCTATTGCTATTGATATATCAGTTTAGAACGAAAATAGCTAAAGAATATAATCCTGGATGTACATTCACAGACACAATGCCATAAATAACAGTCCTGAATGCTTAATCTGGACTGGAATGATTATAGAAGTATAACCCGTATATAAGAATCATTAGATATGAATCAGCCATACAGTATGTGGAATTAGTGAAGCAGCAATTACAAAAGATAAAACCTGTAGGAACACTTCTACAGTGCCTCTACAGTCTAAACAACATGCTGCTCAAAAGAAAGGCTACTTAAGAAGGCCACCCCAGCCCAACATCTGCATCCACGATAGGAACACTAGCACAGGCTTAAGAGGAGAATGTTCAGAGTACAGAAGCCAGGCAGTTTGTCAAATGCAAGTGCTGGTTCAGATCCCCACTGTCACCTAAGAGGGAAGAGGCACTCTGACAGGCTTTGTACCAATGTCAGGCTACTACTCACACTTTACACACAAATGGCATGAAAAGTGTATTCCAGCTTCTTGGGGGGGAAGAGGCAGAAATCACAGCGCACATGAATATTTAACAGACTGACAAGTAACGTGTGTAGAAGAAATATCTCAAAGACAAATCAAAACCAAACCAAGGTGGCCTGGACAATAGGAAATGGGCACAAACTTGTACATAAGAAGTTCCACCTAAACATGAGTAGGAACTTCTTTACTTTAAGGGTGGCAAAGCCCTGGAATAGGCTGCCCAGAGAAGCGGTGGAGTCTCCTTTGGAGACATTCAAAACCTGCCTCGACACGTTCCTGTGCAACCTGCTCCGGGTGGACCTGCTCTGGCAGGGGGGTTGGACTAGACAATCTCCAGAGGTCCCTTCCAGCCCCATATCATTCTGTGATTCTGTGAAGACAAAATATGATTTGGGGAGATTCTCAGAATACATATGAATATTAGTCACACTGAGAAAGTTTTTAAAAGAGCTGCAAAAACATAAGCGAAGATGGAAGCCATAAAAATAAGGATTTGGTTTACTCTGCTGAAAGATCAGAAAATTCCTTCCCAGCCTCAGAAGTGAAACAAGTCTCACCTCCTTACAGTCACAGAGAAAGGAGCTTTCAAAGGAGATTTCAGTCCCAAATGCTGCAAGGCACAGAAGCGCAACATTCAGCAAGGAAGGTGCTGCTAATATGCTCTGCTAGGCTGAAGTTCATAGCAGTAAGGCAGGTGCCTGTGGCTAGTAACTTTGCTACTGGAGCTATGCAGAATTCTGCTCTCTCCCCCAGTGGTACACTGACAGAACGCACTCAGGACACATCTACTTGCAGGCTGGGCAGGTCCTAGAACTCTTTTCATGGCCTTCAGATACCACACTTAAATTAGAATTGAGCTTACAGAATGCAGTACCCTTGTACGTGAATCT